GATGCAGTTTCACGCGTTTGGGCGACTTTTTCGCACGCGCACCACGCCCCGAATGCGCCGAATCTAAAATTAGAAGTGATATGAGCGCGAGTATCTTAGCAATGATCGAAATTGCGGCAGACCAATTGCATGCATATCGAATGATATTATACGTCGCGAGGAATTCAAGTGTGTCGTAAAAGCGAGAACCGCTTCTTAATTCGTTTGAGAAGGTAATTGTACACACAGAGAGAATTTTATAGCAGAAATTAGAATTTTGTAACCGAGGAATAGATCGACACTCTGCAGAAATTCACTGTCCTTTCATTTTACGTGTGCTTCTATTTTAGGAACTGAAATGTACTATTGGAATATTCGCTATGTTTCCAGCTGAAATTTACTATGCTTCTTAAGAAGATAGACTTTACTAATCGTCTATTCCTGAACTACTAAAAACATTAGTAAAGTTGAAAAGAATTTATATGAAAAAAAATCATAATATTTTTCCAGTATAATACATCGAGAAAAGATATTTGATGTTTTTAACTACACTGAGAAAAAAATTTACTAAATTTCAAAAAACGTTTGTTTGGATAGTACTGTGAAGATATTTGTTTAAATTAAGTAATTATTTTCTAAAATTAAATAAAGAAGTTTTAAATATAAATTTTTTTCTTTAATTTTATAAAATAATTACTTAATTTATACAAATACAGTACTATCCAAACAAATGTTTTTTGAAATTTAGTAAATTTTTTTCTCAGCGTATAATCACACAGAGAAATAATTATTACAAGTAATGGTCAAGAGAATAGTTTTTTCAAATAAATTCTACTATGTTAGTGATAATAATTAATAATCTTATGTGCATGTCACCATTTTCGCGTTGGAACAACTAAACAATATAGTTGTGAGACCGAAAGTAACTATAATTCTAGTTATATTAACTATTTTTTTTTCTCAATATATGAAGAGTTGCAGAGATAAAGTTACGTAAATCCTAAACATAAGTAAATTTTATCCAGCGTAATTTTTATTTGTTTACAAATTCATGAAAAATGATCGAAATTTTCAATTTTTTCTTTTTTAAGCGGTGGTAAACATCGATGAATCTATTAATATTTTTGCGCTTTAATGAAGTTAAAAAATATTATAATATAAAAATAAAACCCATGTTCTTAAGAACGATAACGTTTAAAAAGTTAGTCCTGATAAATTTGACTCATTTTTAGAGTTCTAGAGTTAAAATGACAAATGAAAAGATGAGAAATGAGATTTGCGATAGTGACTAAAGCTGGCCACACACTTTTCGTAACAGTAACCGTAAACCGTAACGTAAGAATTGACTAATCATGTTGAAAATCATCGAATCATAAGGTCGCCATTTTTATCTTATCTACTGAAAGACTCGGTCAGCGCGTTGCTTGATTAATTATTAGGGCGGCTAATTTTCTTCATTATTTTCACGCTTTTGACTTCGCGACTTCAGGTAGCGCGGACCTCGAGGATTCGCCCTCAAAAAATTATGTAATCGGACGCATCGCGGACGCTACGGTTTGCGAGCATGTGTTTGGTCGCCCAACGATTTACCGTAACCATGACACTCACGATCACACGGATGTTAATGAGCGTGCGTGGGAATATCCTGCCTTTTCAATGTTACCAGACCGCACCGCGGCGCGCGACATGGTCCCCGACTCTCGGCCACTCTCTGTGAAAGCGATCGAACATCTCTCGTAGATAAAACGGCGATAAAGAGCGGCGGTAGTAATTTCTTGTACAATTTCCGAGGCACATATCGCCGGAGTTCAATAGGTCTCTGTCTACTTTAACCAAGCCGCTTCGTTATGCGATAAGTTCTGTGAGAATTGTAGAAATTCTGCAATCCACTCCTTAAATCCACTCCTCAATGAAACAAGCTCTCCTGTGATGATGAGCCTCTGTGATTATCATCCAACTTTCATCATTGTCTTGAAGACAAAGTTTCGTCGAAATCGATCGACCGCGCGAAGCGCAATTTGTGCTAATAACTAATCAGCAGTGAAATGGTCAAGGCGATATCTCTAATGGATACTTGAGTATACCAGCGACAGTATCGTTTTTAATGTGCCATTCTTTATCTCTCGATGAAACGTGCACGCGGACCCAAGAATATGTGCCTCTGTTAATCTTATCGAGAGTGCAGAATAGCTCTTAAGTTTCCACTTGAGAGCAAAAGTTCTTCTAATATCTCTGTGAGCGTGCCTTAACTTCGAAATTCATCGAGGATATCTCTCATACGATATCCTTGACTTCGATATCCTCTCCAGTGGTAGTTGGAAATCGCTGAGAAAAATTTGCGAATCGTCGTCAGAGGTCCGATGATTTACGTGGCGCAAGCCGGGCGAAGTCAAACGAACACCTAATAACTCGTCGCTTCGTAAATGAAAAAAAGAAGTTGCGTCAGTCAGGCGCGATGCGTCTTCGTTAATTACCGTCGGCTGCACGTGGATTACGGTTGCACGTAATGTTACAACGCGAAGTAATAATGCGCCGGCGTGGAAGATTCGCTGAGAAGCAGCACTGTTCCAAGGCAACGGCGTCCACGGCCGTTGGTGACATCAAACGCCGTTTTATTTCGGGGGCCGCGGATTTTTTACGGTTCTCAGAACCGTCGTAACCGTTTTATCATTTCGCACGTGTCGTCGGCGAAAGGAATCTCGATTTGAATTGCACGCGTTGGCTGTCTGAGAAAGTCCTGAGTAGCTTCTCGTCATGAGATGATTTTCTTTTTACGCTCGGAGATTAATGCGCGCTCCCTGTTAGTAAGAGTGCCGTTATCGACGAAAATAGACGGGACACTCGAAAGCGAGTTCTTGTTATCTATTACTGTACTGAGAAAAATCCCTCGACTATCAGAACAAAAACACGTTTGCTGATCGTCAAGGAAACAAATCGAACAGATAAGCTGACCACACTTTTCGTAACAGTAACCGTAAATAACTCAATCGGTATTCATAAAAATGGCGACCTTATGATTCGATGATTTTCAACATGATTAGTCAATTCTTACGTTACGGTTTACGGTTACTGTTACGAAAAGTGTGTGGCCAGCTTTAGTCACTATCGCAAATCTCATTTCTCATCTTTTCATTTGTCATTTTAACTCTAGAACTCTAAAAATGAGTCAAATTTATCAGGACTAACTTTTTAAACGTTATCGTTCTTAAGAACATGGGTTTTATTTTTATATTATAATATTTTTTAACTTCATTAAAGCGCAAAAATATTAATAGATTCATCGATGTTTACCATCGCTTAAAAAAGAAAAAATTGAAAATTTCGATCATTTTTCATGAATTTGTAAACAAATAAAAATTACGCTGGATAAAATTTACTTATGTTTAGGATTTACGTAACTTTTTGGTGTTTAGGATTCTAGAAATATAACAAATATACTTTTTCCTGAGATATAAGTCATATTTGTTCTTGTCTATTCAGATTAGTTACATCTCTATTAAAATATTGCTTAAAGCAGCAAATTGATTAGAAAAGAAAAAAATTGAAAGTTTCGATCACTTTTCACAAATTTGTAAGCAAATAAAAATGCGCTGAATAAAATTTACTTATATTTACTTTTTGGTGTTAAAGTTCTAGGGTTAACAAACATACATTTTCTGAGATATAAATCATATTTGTTCTTATCTATTTAGATTAGTTAAGTCTCCGCTATAGAAGCGTTGCTTAGAATAGCAAATTGAAAGTAATAAATCATTTGTTCTCGCTACGGAATCATTTGCTGTTCCGTATTAACAGACCATTTGTTGCGGGTACTGGTATTAGCCTGACCTATAAGTTCATGCAGATTTTTATCTAGTTGGCATTCGCATGTTGGTATTAGAAGAATAGTTCCATACAATTGGCCATCTGTGCATATGCTTTGATAGCTGATATTTCAGAAAATATTTTTTGATGTAAATGATAGTGTTTAAAGAAATACAGTTGTTTTTGTTGCGACTTGAAAATGGAAGGCAATAATAAACTTTTCCGGCACATTGTTCTTTTTTGCTTTCATAAAAATTGTTAGAGATTGGCTGAGATGTTTTGCTTCATCCGCCATTTACTCGATACATTGCCCTCTGTGATCATCATCTGTTTCGCTTATTAGAGAACTCCCAACAGTATCAACTTCGCTTCTCGAAAAGATGTGAAAAGCCACTTGGAACGTTTATTCGTCGGAAAAGCATGAGAGTTTTACGAGAGAGGAATCATGAAATTATGTGACAGATGGCAAAAGAGATTGCCGAATAGAATGACGCATGATTGAAAATGGTTTTTAACAGCAATAACAGAATACATTTTAATTTCATTTAAAAATATCCGTCGTAATAAATATTTTATTAGGTTAGTATAACTTTCTCTCTCAGTGTCTCTCAAAAACGCACGCATGCGCGAAATATTAAAGTTTGCGCTGGACAGAGTTCTTGAAAAGCATGTAGCGCGACTGGAACACAATCTACTATGCTGATCGCGCTCATTCCGTCTGTCGACTCGCATAATTGCTTCTCTCTCTCCATGCAGTCGGATCACGTCAAAGACAGACGCGCATATCGCGCAAATAATTTATGTGACGGTTTAATGTTCGCCTCGCGGCGAACTCTATGCAGCTTCGGGTCCGCGCTAGTTGCACGTTCATTATCGCGCGTGTGCTTCGCGGTGTGACGTATGCGTGACCATAGCAGGCAAGGTGGTGAAAATGACGCGAGATTTAAAAATAAAACGGCGCTAATGCGTCTCGCCGACAGCGGCGTAATCTTTATAATTGATGACGATGATTTCGCGCGAGCACGAAATATCGTCAACGGTCCGGCGCGCCTATACTTCACCTGGAGATTCTCGTCGTCTTCATAATTTACATGCACTCCAGCGAGTGCGCCGACGATGTCAAAAACTGGCTCTTTAATATCAAACTCTCTGTCTCTATCTTTTGCGGAGCGCAAAGTGTAATTATCGTCAGTCTAATTCTTGTTTTTTTCTTTCAGATGAGCAAGAACGCGTGCAGAAAAAAACCTTCGTGAACTGGATCAACTCCTACCTGTCGAAGGTGAGTGCATCGAGAAGGGAAATATTTTTGGATCAAATAGCGCGAGTAGTTTTAGCCAATCGGAGCAGAACGTAGGATGTTGACTGCTAAATATATCTACGTTCGTTTACAGTGTAAATGAACGCGTCTCTCAAGAGCGTTTTAGTGTGTCTAACAAACATTTTTATATATTTTTCTCGTTAAACTTAAATTTTTCTAATAATCATTCCCCATTCTACATCCGTAAAACAACTCTACTTTATTATTATTTATTAATTTTTGTGTTGCGAAAAATACTGTCTCAGCCAGAATTCGAACCTGGAGTTTCTCACTTACTGGGCAAAACGCTTCATAGCGGGGTCAAATGAAATTTCGCGTTTCAAAAAAGAGTACAGCTTTGAACTGATTTCGATCCTCGTTTTTTAATGCAAGCTAATAAAATTTAAAACAATTTTGTCGAGTTACATTTTTAACTTTTACTTCCCTTATTCTGAATCAGACATAAAGAAGTTAGATTTAAAAATTTTTTCCCAATTAAACAGTAGATAATTTATTTCATATCTCATTTAATTTGATATCAGACACAGATATTGGTATTGAAATTAAATATTAAACCTTGATTATAGGATGTAAAAAAAATCATACAGACTGATATTACCTCACTAAACAAACGAGATTAATTGAAGTAGCGTCTAAAAATTTAATAAATAGAAATTATACTGAATTAATTAAGTAAGACTAAATTATTACTATTACGTTATTTTTTTTATTAATCATTGTTCTTGAAAATTTTAAGCTTGCGCATCATCTATCGAAATTTTCTGATTGAAAAAAGTTTCTAAATCTAACTTCTTTGTGTCTGAATTAGAAGAAGGGAAGTAAAACACAAAAATCTGACTTGACAAAGTTGTTGTAAATTACATTAACTTACGAGCTATATCAGAAATATTTTTGTCACCTGCATGTGAGATTCAACGGGATTTGTGCGCGCGTCAAGTCACGCTTCGAGGTAACCGTGCTTTGATTCGTCGGCAGGTAGTACAGTTTGCCCGATAACGATAACGACGGCAGGCCGATTCTTCGTTTTCTTTTTCCTTCTTTTTTCCCGTGCTGGCGGTTACGTAACGCTCTCGATCCTTACGTGACGCGTAATAAAACGCGACGAGGGACTTACCTCGTATCGTGCTATCGAAACTTGAACGGAGCGCTGATTTAGCCCGTACCTGGCTCTCGAGTTTCGATGCTCCCCTACTTCCGCATCCATCAGAACTTGGCTTACCGTGGAAATTCCGCTCGTCGTGACATGCATGCGCCAAAAGTAGCAAAGTCGTTAAAGCGAGCGTCTCGCCCGTCGACCGCAACGGCACGTCGCTAAACGCGCGAGGAGAACTGCGCGGACTGACGAGTGAGAAACGGAGAACGATAAAAATTCATTATTATCGCGATTATAATTTTATTCGCGTTCCCTTTTACGGCTTTCCAGCATCTCTTCGCTCAGATTTTTCGCTTTGTTCACCCTCGCGCGAGTGGGCGCAGAAGCAACACAAGCCCACGCCGTATTTCGAAAGTAATACGGTATCCAAAATAAACGATCACTTGTGTAGAGTGAGTAAACACGTATGCAAACGTCGACACGTTGACACATCGGATTTTGTGTGAGCGGAAAATGTCGTCATCGCTGACACTTGCGCGTACCGCTTCGCAGATTCATGTTTTCGCATTACACTCGTGTGCTTCCGCAGTATTATCTATGCGTTTGACTTTGTGATATTCAACTGTCGCGATTGCGGTTGGTAAACACTTCCAATTCGCAAGCGTTTCCTTTATGTGCAGAGAACCCCGGCGCTTCGGGTCGACGACTTAATCGAGGATCTGAAAGACGGTACGCGCCTTCTCGCCCTACTCGAAGTTCTCTCAGGAGAGAAGCTGGTAATGAAATATTTGCCTTGTTACTATGCCGAACAGTAAGTACTGTTGGAAGCGGTCGTTATTCAAATTGCGCGTAATCTTTCAGCCTGTGGAGAGAGGCCGTAACCTAAAGAGACCGCATTTCCTCAGTAACGCCAATACAGCGCTACAATTTTTGCAGAGCAAGAAAGTGAGTACACGTGTGTTTTCTGTGTGTGTATGTTTAGGCAGAGATGTGGGTTAGATGGGCAAATCCGACACGGTCGATTTTATGTCTGATATTTTCGCAGATCAAATTAGTGAACATCAATTCGTCCGATTTGGTGGATGGACGGCCGCCAGTAGTGCTGGGTCTGATATGGACCATCATCTTGTACTTCCAGGTACTTATCTCAACACTTGTATAATGCAGTTCCTATGTAATCAGAGAGCTATGCAAAAGAGCACCATTATACTTAGTATGCGGTAGCTGCTTAAATATAGCGCTCGTATCACGTAACGTAACAAGTACCTTTTGAGTATGGATACGCAGCAGCACCACATTTTTTTACACAGCGACGGGGATTAATTTGTATTTTCACGCCCGCTCTACCAAGTCGCGATGACGAATTGGCGTATCGTCATCGAGATTGAGTAAAATGGCGAGATTACTATTTTATAAGCGAGTTTCCAATTTGATAACAAATCATCGCGACGGATTTATATTATTAATTTCGCTTTATTAACTCGTGTATTTCATTGGAAACTGACGTACACTGAAATTAACTTTTGCACGACGATTTCAATCGGCGTATACAATCGGCAATATCTTCTTCTCCGCGGGCGAAGCGAGCGCAACTGCGCCGAGTGCAATTAATCCTCGTCGCGAGTCAAGTAAGTTATGTCACTCTGCTAACCGTATGTATTCCAATGAACAAGCTACGGTCGAAGGATCGCAAGCGGGTGAGTAGTGAGAAAAAAAGCAAGAAGATCGTGAATTAGACGCGATGATCGATGTTGGTAGCTCTGAGGGAGCGAGACAAAGTGCACTTGCATAATATTGCGCATCCCATTAGTACGCACGCTAGATCGTTTCTAGGCTCGACCAGGACGGCGCGAAGCGCGCTTGACCTCGGTTGATCGATCACATTTTTTTAGATCGAGGAGAACACGAGAGCCCTCGAGTACCTTGGGCAGACCTGGGGAAGTCAGAGCAGCCTCGAGAGCCTCGGCACTCAAGGCTCGGCGGCGAGCGAGAGGAGACGCATCAGCAGCGAAAAGTGGAAGCAGGGTGCGCGAAAGACTTTGCTCCAATGGGTCACCAATGCCTTGCCCAAGTCAGTACTTCGTCGGGTCGTAGCAAAAAAGATTTCTTTGCTGCAGCTAATAATGGTTTGCTGCAATGTATTTGATGCTGTTATTAGAAATTTGCTGCTGTAGCCGAACATTTTGTTGCTACTACATAAGTTTCATAACTAAATATATGTCTACTGGCAGTTATACTTTTAGGTTCATGTTACTCATGTGTAATTCATGTTACAACGAGACATTCACATATAGATTATTGCTGCCGCAGCTAATTCTTTTTCCTGTGATATTTTACGCGATTAAGGGAATGCTAGAGTCGATGACGAACATAATTACTAACATAATTACTCACTAACATAATTACTTATCCTTTTCGTATTTCTTGTATATACAGAACTTACATGAATGTGTGTTGCTTTGTTTTACCATATTCAACTTAACTATGTATGTATAGAAAATTTTTCTGCAAACTCTTTCGGTATTCTTAAGCTTCCAAATGCAGATGCGAAGGTAGAGCAATGTTCTTCAAAATATTTTTGTTTGGAGCATCCACACTTTCGATATGTACAAGCTGTGGAACTATTGGATTAGGCAAATATAACTATGACAGCTGATTTTACATTAAAAATGTTTTGTTCATTTTCGTCAAGTATTGAGCAATGCTCCTATTCAGTGGCATAACCAGAAAAAAGGAGGGGACTGTATTTCTTATTTTTGACGAGCAAAAAAAGGTTATTCGAAAAAATTTTTCTCACATTTAGCATAACCCCAGAAAATTGATTTCAGGGGAAGTTGCAAACCCCTCAGTTCTTCTCCCCCTCTAGCTACATCACTGCTCCTATGTATTTTTGCACGTACTTTCATTGCGTAAAAGCATTTGCAATTCTAACAAACGACGTAAACTTTGTAGAAAAATGTCAGTGTTTTGTCGGTAAAATTTATGTCGTACTGATTATACAGAATTACAAATGCTTTTACGCAATGAAATCACGTGCGAAAATAAATAAGAACATTGCTCGACAAATGTGACAAAAACGAACAAAAAATTTTTAATGTAAAATCTCAAGCCTAATCCAAAAGTTCCGCAGCTTGTACATACCGAAAGTGTGGATGCTTCAAACAGAAAAATTTTTAAGAACATTGCTCTACCTTCGCATCTGCATTTGGAAGCTTAAGAATATCGAAAAAGTTTGCAGAAAAATTTCTAGACGTATGTGATTACGTTTTCCGTTGAATATGGTAAAACAAAGCAACACACATTCATGTAAGTTCTGTATGTACAAGAAGTACGAAAAGGATAGTGTGATTATGTTAGTGACGATTGTCTCTGCATTATTGACATTGTTCGAGTTCGTCATCGACTCCAGCGTCCCCTTAACTCAGTCAATCGTTCAATTGCCGATAATAACACGAACTGCGGATTGTTTCTTCAGGGACGTCGGTATCCAAGTTCGAGACTTCGGCGAAAGTTGGAGAGACGGAAATGCCTTCTTAGCAATCATCAACGCCATCAAAGCGAACTTGGTGAACATAGCGGCCATGAGAGAAAGGTCGAACAGACATCGCCTGGAAGCGGCTTTCCAAGTTGCCGAGGTCGAGCTGGGCATCGCGCGATTGTTGGATCCTGAAGACGTAGACGTGCCACAGCCCGATGAGAAATCAATCATGACATACGTTGCCCAATTTTTACACAAGTATCCGGAGCCGGGGAACACGGGTCCGGATTCATTCGCGGCTATACAGGAAGAATACAACGGTCTACTGAATTGGCTGAAGGAAAGAGTTAGGCATCTCGAGCAACTTGACAGGACCAATGCCTTCCCGCCAAGTTATCCGGTAAGCTCACATATTAAGTCTCGAGAGATGTTAATTATTTTGTGCAGTTTTTAACTTAAATAATTTCTGCTGAAATTAAGAATGATAAAGAAATAAATGAAAACGAGAGATATTTTCATTCACTGTATTTCTCTGACATCGGATAATAGTCGTGACTTTTCTTGCAGGAATATATGCTCTTCAGAGCGGAAGCTGATGAGAAATCAATTATATACAAGAAGATGCAAAGTTTGGTCGATACGCCCAGCATGATAAGCATCACACGGGATTCTTGGAGACACATACAAACGTTGTGGCAACAAATGGAACTCCTCGTGAGTCTCTCAATGAATTCCCCAAGTAGACATACGCGATTTTACGCGGTTTCTTTCAGGAAGTATTATTTTTCTGCAGATGTTACACTGGCTCTGGTTACTGGATTCGGCGTTACCGGGCGAATTAGGAGAAGCTGGTAGATGGCTGGCGAGAGCCGAAGCTCTCTTGCACTCAGACAACGACATACCGGACGAAATGACGGAGGGAACGGCGAACATAATATCAAACAAGCTGGAAGATCACAAGAAATTCTTCCTCGACCTGCCGGCCATAACGGAGAAATTCCAGCACGCCAAAAACTCACCGTTGGCCCGACAAGTTCAGCCTGAACAACTGGAGAGCATGTCTGCACGTTTCGACAGTTTGCCCGTACGCGCTGCCAAGAGAAGAGTGAAACTGAAGTTCCTGGAGCACAAATGCTGCCTGGTTGCTTTCCTGTACCTCGTGGAGACCAAATTGAAAGGCTGGAATGTTAAATACGGCACGGAGGAGAAGGTTCACCAGATGCTGGAGCAATATCGCAACTTTGTCTCGCGAAACAGAATATTCCAGGAATTTCAAAAGGCCTACTTGGACATGCAGCAGGTCGCCGAGGAGTACAAGCGCGATGGCGATATTGGTAAGTTAAAACGTGAGTCAGTTAGTTGAGCAGTTATTTAGAAACTAATTAATTTGAGAATTGAAAGTTTATTTACTGTGCGACAGACAGCAATTTCACAACTGAGTAATAGTAATTTCTCGTTGACGCAGTAACGCTATGAATTTGTGTTTCAGACCGGGAAGAGAGTCTTAATATCGATCGCTTTATGCGAGAGACAGCCGAAAAGTGGAAGAACGTGTCGATGGACCTGCGCTGCGCTCAAAGCATGCTCGAGGAGGTAGTCGCTTATTGGCGTCGTTGGACTATTGTTTCGGACGAGTTCGAAGCGTGGTTATTGCGCGCTGAGCCCGCGTTAAATCTGCCAGAGGACGAGCGGATGGAATTCTTCCAGGATATAAGCGTATGGAAAGACAAGCATCAGCAACTGTCGGATACTGTGAGCTTCTTAATCGCCACGTCCGACGAACCAGTAGCGTTTCGCCTGAAGGAGCGTTATACGAATCTAACGTCCAGATGGGAGCGACTCTTCCAAGAGGCCAAGCAATATATGCACGCGGGCGATCTCATCCGAACGAGAAAGGACTACAAGGCTGGAATAGAGGCTCTTCAGAGTTGGCTGAGAGACGCCGAGGCTGCCTTAACGACCACCGGGCTCAGCTCGACAGAACGGATCAAAGCCTATGGAGAAAAACTGCAAACTCTTCACAACGAGGTTGAGGATATTGAGGATCTCTTTAAAAATATCAGCAAGAAGTTCCAGACTCTCATTCAAGATCTGTCTCGCGACGAGGTTGACAAGATGATGAATACCCTAAAGAAGGAGAAGGAAGCACTTGTTAAGGTGCGCGCTTTGATACCTATGCAGCTACACTTGTATCATCAATTATTGGTACAGCAGGAGTCGCTGGAAGCCGGCCAGAAGGAGATATCCGCGTGGTTGGACGAGGCCGAGAACTTTTTGGCCAGTATGAATCTCGCGGGTGGCAGGGATGCTGCTTTAGCTCAGTTGGATCGTCATAAAGTCTTCTTTTCGAGAACACTCTATTACAAATCCATGCTGGAGTCCAAGAACAAGGTATTCGCGAGCATTGTCAAGGCCGTCGACAGTCACGCCGATGTGGAAACAGCCGAAGGCGGCGCTACTTTGAGGAAACTTAATGATCGATTCGTCAAAGTCTCTCAGGAGGCGCAAATCTGGGAACAACGCCTGCAGGAATCCATACGACGTTGGACGAAGTTCAAGGAGTGCGACAGACAAATCTCCGAGTGGTTATCGGTCGCGGAGACGATGGTCAACGACAAGCACATTGACAATCGTCAATCCGTCGAGTATCACAAGAACTTCTTCGGCAAAGTGAACGAAAAGTGGATACAGGACCTCGTGAAAGCCGGTCAAGATCTCCGCAATGCACTGCCAGTCGAGCAGCAGCTCTCCATCGCAAATACAGTGGAAGCTCTGCAGAATCGTTGGAGAGAAGTCCTCACCTTCGCGCCGCTTCATCTGATGAGACTCGAATTTCGTTTGGACGAAGCTAGCTTCCTTCAGTATCTCAAAGAGATCGAAATGGAGATCAGTTCGGAGCAACAAGCGCTTATTAACAACGACGACGTGGATAGCATTCAACAGCGCATTCAGGACTTCTTCCTAAACCGTAGCGCGAAGGTCCTCGAGATCGAACGCTGTTTGCAGACTTTGAAAAAGATCAGCGACGCCTACAGCAAACTCAAGCCGGGCGATAGCAGTCTCGCTGATGCCACGCAAAATGCCGAACATCTGTGGGAAGCGACCATGCAGAAAGTGGAAAATCTGAAGAAGAAATTGCGTGAAGTCCTGCAACAATGGACGACTTACAGACAGAAGTAAGTGTTCAATTTTTGTGTTACCAATCAACATCATTTTCTTGTTTTGAAATTACATTGTGGGCATTTGTGCTTTTAGGTTTGACGAAATGGTGCATTGGATGGATGACGTCGACAATATCCTGAGAACGATTCTACGCGAGGTCAACACTTTGGAAGAATTCGAGAAGGAGAAAACGATATTCCAGGTAAGAGTGTCGGTTGTGAGTCTCGATAGATCTTCACTATCTCACGTCGTTCACATATTTAAACATACTTAAACACTCTGCTTCACCTTTTCTGCGTTCTTCCTGGATAGCTCCAGACCTTGACGGTAAATATGAACGAAAAGACCTGTATTTTCGTGCACCTGTATTTTCCGTTTCCTCGTAGTTTCGCTATGCGTTTCGCTCGAGAATTTCACATTTGGTTTCCAGAGTGAAATTCTTAAGTGTGAATATTGATTTATGAAATAACACTTTCTTTTGTTATCAAGGTACATACTCCAGTTATGAATACGAAAAAATCTATAAAACGCCGTCGATTGTTCGCAGAAAATCTGCCGCGAAGCCGACAACAAGCGCGAAGATATGAAGTGGCTGGTTCAAACTCTTGACAACCTGACGCTAAATCGCTCGGATCGCGAAGCGCTCACAGCGCAGCAGAATTTGGAACAACTGATAACCCGATATAAGAACCTAATACCAACGATCGAGATCACTATGACGAAAACAGATATCTATTCGAAGAGTTACACCTATCGGAAGGAGGTACGCGAAGTTTGCACTTTGTTGCGCAAGGTTCGCGAGCAATCAAAGGTCGAGGTCATGCCCGAGGCACCTGAGAAACTGCAAAGCGCGGTGGCGCATCAAGAATCCCGTCTCAATCAATTGGAACAGCAACGAGCGACTATCGTCAGCATGCTGCAACGCGGCAAAGACCTCTTGAAAGATCAACACGCGCCACCCTTCGTCTCGTCCGAGGTCCAGCAGTTGGAAACTAACTGGAACGACACATACGGCCAAAGTATGGAGACGTTGAAGTCCCTGAAGGACTCCCAAAAGTTATGGAGCACTTATGAGGAACAGAAAAACGAAATTTTGAGATTGATCGAACAAGCTGAGAGAGAACTGCGGCAAATCGAATTAACCTCTTATTACGAAGCCGCTCAAGTTACCTCTGACCTGCAGAAAAATCAAGAGTTCAGTGCTAATTTAAGAAAATCGGCGGAGGAAATGATGAGGAAATTGCGCGATACACATGCGAATCTTCTGCAAGCGCTCACACCCAGCAAGAAGGAGATTCTGGAGAAGGAGGTGACGGAAACCGAAGAGAAGATGGAGCGTACATTAAAGATTGTACGCGAGAAGGTAGTTTATCTGCAAGAACACAGTACTCGATGGAACAAATTTCAATCAAAACTTGTGGAGCTGCGATCATGGATTCAGCAAGCCGCGCCTCAATCGATCGCGGATATCGAGGACTCCACGGCCTCGCCAGAGGAAAGAGTTCGCAAAACGGAGAATCTGCAGAAAGAGATCAAGGAGAAAGTGTCTATATTGAACGTTCTGGAAGACGAGTCTCGGAAACTCGTGAAAGGTCAGTGAAAAATTTTCTATTATTACTATATTTTTATAATATATTAAAATTAAAATCTTTTAACTAACAGTAAGATTTGAAAAGGCACATAAGGAGCAAGCACGGATGCCTTAGTGCTATTAAATACTAATATTAGTTTTTAATATTAATATGATTGTGGGAGGATAAAATTGTCCAGTATGTTAAACGCACGTATCGAAATTTTTCTTTGATTATCGTACCCGGAGAATCAACCTTCCATACTTAGACCGATCCTTGAGTCCCAATTTTTTATATATATTAGGTGTACAACTTTGTTTTTTTCCAAAATTCGAGGCTTTATTGCAAAATACTGGTTATACATTTATGATTCAAAGTATTGTCCATCGCTAGCCACTACTTTCTCCCATCTTTCGGGCAGCGTACGAATCTCGCGTCGAAAAAACTGGTCATCTTTTGAGGCAATCCACGAATCGATCCAATTTTTTACTTCTTCATAAGACCGGAAGTGCTGGTCAGCCAGGCCGTATGCCATTGATCGAAACAAGTGATAGTCAGAGGGAGCAACATCTGGAGAATACGGCGGGTGGGGTAAGACTTCCCATTTCAACGTTTCCAAGTATGTCTTGACCACTTTCGTAACATGGAGTCGAGCATTATCATGCTGCAAAATCACTTTATCGTGTCTCTCGTTGTATTGCGGCCGTTTGTCTTTCAATGCTCGGCTCAAACGCATCAATTGTGTTTGATACCGATCGCCTGTGATTGTTTCAGTCGGTCTTAACAGCTCATAATACACTACGCCGAGCTGGTCCCACCAAATACAGAGCATGACCTTGGAGCCGTGAATATTCGGTTTGGCCGTCGACGTGGAAGCATGGCCGGGAACTCCCTATGATTTTCTGCGCTTGGGGTTATCGTGATGAACCCATTTTTTGTCCCTAGTCACAATGCGATGCAGAAATCCATTCCGTCTTTGCCTTTCAAGCAGCTGTTCACAAGCAAACAAACGCCGTTCAACATCTCTCGGCTTCAATTCGTACGGCACCCAATTTCCTTGCTTCTGAATCATTCCCATGGCTTTGAGGCTTTTGAAATGGCTTGTTGAGTCACTCCCAATGATCGTGCCAATTCTTCTTGATTTTGACACGAGTCTTGATCAAGTAATGCCTCCAATTCTGCATCTTCGAAAACCTTTTCTCTTCCACCGCTATGCCGGTCTTCGACGTCACAGTTCTTGAAGCGTTGAAACCACTCACGACACGTTCTTTCACTAATAGCGGCTTCAC